TTGCTAGATGATGAATTGTATTGATGTAGTATCAGAAAAAGGTCTCACACGAATTTAACTAATGATTAACAACTTTCTAGTTTTCAAAATAAATCACTATGAACACTTATGACCATCATCCTGAACATACCTATAACTATGTCATCAGTGATATACAATAACTTTATAAATATTTTACTTTTGATTTAAAAGCAAAGATAACCTTAAAAATGTATAATTATGCTTATACCACTTTAAAAAAATAGTCTGAAATTGCTTCGCTTTATTTATTTATTATTATTTTAATTTTATGTATTTTTTGCTTAGATTTTTAATTTAGATTACACTGAACTAATAAGTACATATTTCTTAATAAATCAAAATGTAATTAAAACAAACCATCTTTATTTTTATGTGAACTAATAAATAAATGGATTAATGCATCAAAACATTATTATACAGGTATAAAGAATAGTTTTTGAAATTCATAACTTTTTAATATTTTAATTAATGTATTAAATTTATTATAATTGTAGTTTATATTACAACTATTTCCCTGAGATACAAATCCTTAATTGTAACTATTATTATTTATTATGTACTATAAATTACGTATTTTTCATTATTTGTTTAATTTTAAACAGAGCTGTAGAATTCTTTTTATTCTTATACTAAACATCAATAATCTAATAACGTTCAAAATAATTAGTAATTTTTCTCTAGTATTGAATGTAAACTTCAACTTCGTTCTATATTGTTAATATCAATTATATGTATTATTCAGAGATTATTTGTGGCCGATTTATCTCTCGTATAACCTATAATAGAGGTAAGCAGCTATATTTATCACATTAGTATTGCATTTCACTATTTGTGATAATTACGTAAATTATTAGAGTGGCATATAATTAGATCTATTCACACACCGTAATGAGGCCGTTTGTTACATCGTCGATATTGAGTTTCAATGCCTTTCAACAATTTAGCAAGCAGCGTAATTGTTCCTACCATCACCAGAATCGATATGAAATTGTTTTAAAGACATTGTGATGCTATCCAGGTAAACATCAAGCCCTAATACATGTCCAGTATCTGTATATAACATTATTACGTTATACTGTGTTGTTGTTTCTTATCCCATTTGGTCGGGATCAACATCTAGGCCAAGTCAATTCTTGGTTAAGTCAAGTCAAATCAAATCAAATTAAATCAGCAAATAATTTTATATAGATTGAGATAAACGATTAAATCATTTATATGTAGGAAAACTCTGTAAGTATAAATAAAAAAAATCTGAATTAAAAATGATTATACTCATTTCTTAATATTAATATTTAATAAATTCATTTTTCGTCGTAAAGAATGTTTTGATAATTGATGTAGACCGAATATAATATTAAATAATTTAGTTATATTAAGTTCATAATTTGTGGAATTCATATTTTTCCTATCGTAACATTATTTTTTAGATCAAACAATAAAGTTAATATAATTATTATTATTTATCTTTAACATTTCAAAATGTTTTATTCAGAAGTCCTAAATCCAGTATCTTGATGACTATTTACTAAGATGTGCATCAGATTCCTTGTTGAAATTTCGCTGCTTCGTTAGAGATGTTAAGCAGTGCAGTTAATACATGAAGCCTAGATATTGATTGCGGTAGTTGAGAGACGAAAATTTGTGTTAATGCGTTTTGCACAAGTATATCATTTACCTAGTAAGAAAATGACTCCGCGAAACACAAAAAAATATACATTTGATTCACAAATCGCGATTGAAGTTGTTTCCGGATAAAAACAACTCTTAAAATGAAATGAAATTATAAATTATGTTAATTAATAATAGCTTATCGTAAAAAAAAATTACGTAGTTTATTTAAATTTGTAATCTACTCATATATCTACATTATGAACTGTATATTAATAATTTATTTCATATCTTAGTCATCTGACAATTCCTTTCTGTTTTTAAAAACATCTCATAGCAAAATATACATTAACTTTGTAATTAAATTATGTACCATCAAAATGCAGATTTTAAAAAATATTGATTAGAGATAGGATCAAAAAAAGTATATTTAAAAAAATAAGTATATTTTAATTATGTTTTTAAGATAATCTAATAAAAAAATAAAAAAAAGAATTAAAAATTACTTAAATGCTATTGTAGTACTTATTGTAATAAATAATAAAGCTAAAGTTACATTTTTATCCCTTTTTTTTATGCATTAGTTTTTCGATCACTAAATATATATAAATGATTTAATACTATTGAAATATCGAAACGCTTTTCTTTTTTTAAACAATTTATGTCAAATCCGGCGAAAAAGTATTAGCCATTGTGAATTATCTAAATTCTTTAAGTTTTCGAAAAATAAATTAAAAACTTACAAAAAAGGAGAATAAGACTGTCTGAGACGTTTTGTCTGGGATAGATAATTGGGGAAACAAGATCGCAAAAATTATGCTACTTAACCTATTTAACTGCCTGAACGAGACATAGACGAGAGCACTGTTCTGATCCTAAAGCGGTCGCATCAGTCCTCTATTCTTCAAGGAAATCCCCCCCTCCTCCCAGAGAAAATTCTAAACTTTTTTGTTCTTACAGGAAACAGCCTGACTGTAAATAGGTCTAAACATTGACTGAGGTCTGCAGAGAAAATAAACCGTTGACTTTTTTTATTATTACAGAGTTAAAAAAAAAAATTAGACCATTTAATGTGAAACAGAAAAAAAAAAAAACCATGAAACATTACTAGGGATTAGATCAATAGGAAATAGACCATTTGGTGTGAAGCAGAAAAAAAAACGTAAAACATTACTAAGGATCAGAGTTGGGGAGTCGAAATCAGAATTGGGAGCAAAGAGTCGGGAATTGAGCATTGTTGAAGGAATCAGAGTAAAGGGTCGCTATAAAAATCCGATTCCAGACTCTTTTATAAACATATTTATATATATATTAGTTTTTCAATATTCTGATAATCAGTGTTAAAATTAAATGTTAAGGTAACAGTTCATGCCATAAGTTCTAAATTTTCTAAGTTCATGCCATATATACGCCAATAGCTAGATGTTTACATTTTATTGAATTTAAGAATTACTAGTTATTTTACTATTCTAATTTAATACGTAATTTATATTTAATTTATCAGCCATTGTATACAGGCTCTTGTATTAAAAAGGTTGCTTGAAAGTAAATCGCCTTCCTTTTTAGCGAGATTTAATCCCTATAAATTAATTTATCAAAAAAAATATTCATTTTTATAATATTTTAATTGCAAGCATAAATTTACTCGAAAATGAGACACGTTAAAAAAAAACTATGCCCTATAATTGTAAGATAATAATATTTATATTATGCAGAAAATTCTTTGAAAAAAAAAAAAAAAAAGACAAAAACTGAAATTTTAAATTTGGTTGAACAGGTTGACACTTAAGATTTCAAAACTGTGCCACTTTGGCTCGATGACTACATAATGGAAGGTACAATTTCTTCCATGTCTAAACCTGTGAAGCAGACTAAATCTGTTTGTCAGAACTTACTCTGTTATCCTCAAAGAAGAGTGAAAGAATGAATCGTCAAATGCTAGGCTTGTAATGTGGATGCAAAATGGTATATTGTGATATATATATATATATATATATATATATATATATATACCTGCTTTTATAGAGACAAATCAGCTCAATTCAAAATCTTCAGGATAAAAAAAAAAGAAAATTTATTTATTTGCTTTAAATATTTAATTTCCAATTCATAACTGTAGCTAAATTTATTTTTGAAAGATCGCAATACTCATTTAAATGGAATTGTAATTAAAAAGTGTTTATATTATCATGAGTTAGTAACAAATGTGGCTGATTTTTACTAAAACGTTTTAGTTAATTTTAAACAATTTGTGTATATTGGTGCATTAAGTGAAAAGCAGATTTAATTAGAAATCAAGTTAAAGTACTGTTAATTTCATTTGTGACCCTTTAAAGTAGTAATTCCAACTGAATTCTCAGAATTTTAATGCAAATTAAGAGCCTTCAACATATTGTGTTGATGATATATATATTCAAAACACTTCAATGTGTCTCTGGTTGGTATGGCGCTTGCATGTTTTCTCCTGGTGAACTAACGTCCATTCAGTCTCAACCCAATCGAAACATCTGTTTTGTTGATGTTGTTGTTTCATATCCCACTTGGCTGGCCAAGCCCACGAATCCATATGGACTCATGATTGAAGAGGAAGGAAGCAGCTTCTGTTGTGATGGAGCACCCGTAGGTAGAAGCCTGACTTTTGCTCCGTGACGCTCTTACAGTCATAGAAGACCGGGACCTACGGCTTAAAGTGGATTCCGAACCACTACAAACATCCATGGCACCGCCGGGATTCGAACCCGAAACCTGTGGCACCGAGCGCCAGAGCGCTAGACACTCGGCCATTCAGGTCCCAAATTTGCCAACGGCACGCAGTGTTCCCAGGTGGTCACCCACCCAAGTACTGACCGCTTAACTTCGGTGATCTAACGAGAACCGGTATATTCAGCATGGTACGGCCGTTGGCTTCGAAACATCTAAACACGCGAAATGTTTCAAGAACTCGAGTTGTATATTTACGAGATATACGAGCAGAATCACATCTGTTCATTAATTAACTGCGTCAGAGAAACTGCTAAAATATTTACTGAGAAGAGTCGCATAACAACATCACTTAAACCAATGCCTGGAAATACAGAAAATAAGTACGACTTGTTCCTGCTATAGTTGAATGCTACCGAGTTTTAATGAAAGTAATTGAAAAGTACTGTTTAGAACTATTCAAAATAAGCTATTATTTCGTTCTCGTTATAACTTAGAATTGCTTTTGAAGATTATTTCCTAAAATATCGAAAATGATAAAATATAGTCACTCTTGAAAACATGAGTTGATATTAATATTGATATGTCTTGTTTATTTTAAATGATTTAATATAAATGCGCCAAATAAAATAAGGTTTCCTTGAATGCAGTTTTATATAAATTAGAAAGTACTGAGAATTATAAACAATATTTTGCTTATGTTGACAATTAAATCTATTTGAAAATTTCTAATTTGCAGGATAATATATACGAGAATCATAAATATGATTAATAAAGAAGAAATAATATACAAGTAAATAATAAAAATAAATTAATTTTGAAATTGGTCTTCTATAAATGAATATATATTTTTAAGACCAAATGTGGAGCACAAATTTTAAATACCATTTCTTTATTAATAAATATATATTAAATTGATAAAGAAATACAAGCAAGTCGTGAATAAATATTTTAGTAATTTGCGCAAAGCTTATTTCAAAGTTAATACATTAAAATGCTCGTGAATTAGAATTTAGAACTATATCCTTGAAAGTAAAAATAATTTAATATGAGGTAGAGACACATTAATAGACTAGCCACAGATCATATCAAATACTAATTAGCTATAATTGTGGATTAAATTTCCCTTCTTAAATGAAAAAGGTTCCTTTTAAAACGCAGAATTAAAGAATTAAATTGTATGTATGCTTGTATTAAACTTATAAAAACAAATAAAAGTCACTTTTGTTTGATTTAAAACAAAATTATTTAATTTTACATTCAGTGTCTAATTCAGTGGTTTTCAAATTAGGTGCCCTAGAAGATTTCCATGTGTGTCACGTGTTGATCCAGAGAAATACGTGTCCACATATAGTTAATACTTTAAAATAAGTGTAGTTATAAATATTGCTATTTTATTACTTACATTATAAGCAACTAAACTTTCTGATTGCGTTCTCTTTATTGACATAAAAAAAGACAAACAGCGGTAATTCATCAAAAAAATACTTTTTCGGAAAACCATGAGCTGTCATTTCCATGATTACTAGAAATAGAGAATCTATGTGATTCTGAAATGTTAAAAGAATTTCCTCTGCAGTCTACGAAACTCAACCGTCTCTAAGTCGTGGAGTTGATCATCTAATATTAACTAATGAAGAAGAACTAGTAGTTATATCTACTGATCGTGGGTTGAGGATTAAACATAAGAATTTTCTCTTGAAGACTTCTTTCAGAGAAGAATGCGTATCCTTATTCAAAAGGTTTGACAATTTTACTACAATTTTCAAGTCATACTTATGTGGATTCGGGTTTTCTACTCTCACCACAAGTCAGGGTAAAAAGAAAAGAAATCTTCATTATATGAATAAGAAAATGACAATTTGTCTTTCAAATATCTGCGTAAACATTGAAGCATCGCTAGGAGTCTTAAGCCTCATATTTTTCATATACACAAGAACAAATAAACTTAAGTTGCATTTTATTTTATTTTTTTATTTTTTCCGTAATGTTTAATTTAATTCCGTAAAATTAATTAAAAAGATTTTTCCGCAATGTTAATTTTAAAAAAATATTCATTCATTTCTTTTCCTATGAATAAAACCTGTAATTAAAGCACGAAAAAATGTATTGAATTTTAAATATCAAAAGGAGAATTCTCTTTTAATTAAATGTAGGATTCCGAAAAATATAATATTTTGTAGAACATTCGATGCATACCATTAAATTTTCTTGTTTATCTTCTTCAAATAAAATATTCCTTTTCAATTATAAACATAAACATAGTATTTTAAAAATAGATAGAATTTTCAAAAACAGTTTTAAACACTTCACGATCAAGATTTTCAAAATGCTATCATTCTGTTTTCGTAACTTGTTGAAAAATAATTGTATTCTTGATTACAAAACAGAAAACTGATTTTCATAAAAAAAACTATTTCATCTACCTCAGTAGGAAAAGAAAAAACCTTTCTTATGTTCTTAAGGCACTTATTAAAATTTCTTCTGATGTGAATGTCTTCCAATCATATCCTTTTCCGTATAAATTCAGATTTTTCTCCTCTCGAAGCAAATATTTTTTATTTGATATTCGTTATTTTTCTGTTTTAAATCCTGTGTTCGCACATAAAGATGAAATTTAAAAAGTGCTTGGCTTTACCTTTGTTTACTTTTTAATGCTCAATGCTGAAGCTTAAGCGAAAGAATGCCCGCAAGGCAATGGTTCACATCTCAACGATTGCAAAGGAAGTTTTATTGAAGAAAAATTTTAAGTATTCATGGTAAGCGATTATCTAAAAAACTATGTGTTAGATATAGCAGTGTAAACAGAAAGATATTGCATTGTCCTTTCTATAATCTCTATGTTTGCTTCGAATTTATTCCACATAGAAACTTCAAGGCGTTTTTCAAATCTTAGAAGTCGTTCAAGCAATTTATTTGTATACTGTAAAGCCGCAACTACTAGACAGAAGATAAAAAAATTATTTTTTCAATGCAGTACATGGGATTATATTTTATTTTTTACCATTGAATTTTAATAAAAGCAAGTAACTTTAGAAAGGTTTTTTTTATACCCATACTGCTAGCAGTATCGTGCTTTCGTTTTTTATTTGTTGTCAGTTATATTGCTTCTCAATAGAAATTTAAATTTAGGAAAAAAATTTAAAATTTAACTTGCGTTTCTGCATTTATGACAAATCATCTAAGATAATATATTATATATATATATATAATATATATATATATAATATATATATATATAATATATATATATATATATAATATATATATAATATATATATAAATTTAATATTATATATATAATATATATATATATAATATATATATATATAATATATATATATATAATATATATATAAATCATTTAGATAATATTATATATATATATCCAATATAACCCAACAAATAACCAATAACCCATCACAAAAGGAAAGGGGCATCACAAAAAGGCAGGTTTCAGTGGAGTGCATATAAAAGATGTCCTAGGGCATCGGAAAGCTTTTCAATTGTTGGCGTAATAAATATATGTATATTTAAAAATTATTAAAAAGGTGCTTATTCTGGCTTTTGACAGGTGGTCACATTAATGTGACTGGACTGTGTATATATATTATCCTAGATGATTTTGTATGTGTGTAACAGGCCAGAAAGTTTCTGAAAATGTATTTTGAAGCCAAGTGGATTTTATAGAAAATAATAAGTCATGATGCTTTTGTTTCGTTTTTAATAACGTCGATTTAAAAGATAGCATTTCAATTCCAGGAGTCCCAGAGTTCAGCACAATGCTTCAGAAAAGTGTGAAAGTTATCTGTTGCAACTAATAAAACCAAAAAAAGAAAATAATAAATAAATAAAAAAAATAAATAAATAAAATGTTTTCATCAGTAAATTTCAGAGCGTAAATTAAAAACGTAACACACGTGTGTAATTACTATTAAAAAAGGTTAATCAATTTGGGTTTAACATCAATGTGCATTTTTTCTGTGCTATTAGAAAAAGTAATAATAATAATATAAATAAATGTTTATTTAACTAGAAAAAAAATAGTAAAAAAAATGTTTATTTAACTTGTAATGATTAACATATTTCCATATGAAGTATCTACGAATTATGCTATAAAATCAATTAAAGGATAACGTTTAATTGATGTTCTTCGTCGAAATAGCCCCATGGTAGGCCAAGGCAGGCTGTCTTCCGGCAGATTTCGAGACAGATAATGTTTTCTTTGTACTGTTATCACCCCTACGCTCAACAGTCATATTAGACAGGGACCTACTGTTTATTGTGGATTCTAAAACACTATAAACATTCATGCCCCTTCGAGACTCGAACATAAAATCTGTAACACCAAGCACCAGAGCTCTAGTCATTCTTCCATCAGGCTCCACATGTAACTGTTATCATACATAT